GATATTGTAAGATCTCAACTGTCATAGTTGCTTCGTGATCCTCTCTAAAAGAAAATAAATAAAAAAGTTAAAATACATAATGCTTTAATTTAACCTTCTTTCCATTAGCTCAGCTTCAATGTCCCTGTCTCTAAGAGATTGCTCAATCATTGCATCTGATCCAAACCTACAATTACATGTATAATAGTACACAATACATGTATAACGTACATTCACATGTTTTTATTGCATTATATACATGTAGTGTAGTTTGTACTATTGTCCTACCTGTGTATCACTAGTTGAGAGGTAGTACAAGAGTATCCTTGATCTTCTCTTAGCTGCTTTAGTTCCCGCCATGTCTTCAATATGTTTTGCATTAGCTGGTACTCAGTAGCACCAGTCTGCTTCAACTGTTGTCTCTTTGCTCTTACCTAAAAATAAAAATAATACAAATGTAAACAGTTATGTGCTTAAATGTATTATTGTATTGTTATATAATAAAATGTATTATCGTAATATGTATTAAATGTATAGTTCATCATTACTTCAAGGCGGTATCTTTCCAGCTGCTCTGATGCTTGCATTGGATCGGTCTGTGATTGTTTTAAGTCTTGAATGGAATATTGCAAAGCTTTTAACTAATGGAAAGAAACAAAAAAATAGAGAGAGAAGGAGATTAAAGTTAAATAGTTAAAATGCTACATGTCCTACTTGTTCTCGATACTGTTCAATAAGTCTACTCCTGTCTATTTTATGATACACTTCACACTGTTTTGATAAAAATTGGCTCAATACGTGTTCTCTGCTAAACAAAGGATGATGAGAGAAATGTATTGAGCCTAAGTATATCTCCAACTGGCAATCCTTGACACCTGAAACAAGTAGGCACACAAAATTAAATAAAAAATTAAATAAACATTTACTTGCTTACCATCAGTTTTATTGATAATAGCAGTGCTATTCCCTGCCATTCTTGGCTATAGGATATTCATTATAACAGTGATTATTATTATTAAATTCATAGTTATTACTTCTCTGTAGATTAAGTGACGGTTGGGATCCTCTCCTATGATGAGGGGTCTGATAATAAGTTTGTGCGTCGGTTCCGGTGTCGTTAAAATCAGCCCATCCTTTCCAAACCAGCCCTTACCCTATGCATGGCAGATTTTAAAGAGTATTTGCATCTCTTCTTTACCATGTCTGGGCGACGTAATAATCTGTTTTCCATTGTTGCCAAGTTACCTATGCTCACTTTTGGCCGCTGTCCAACGTACAGACCAATGTCCTCATCAAAGACAGGTGGATTTTCATCAGGAGTTTTTGTTTCTAGTGGTGCTGAAAGAAAAATAAATAAATAAATAATCGAGACAAAAAAAGAAAAAAATCTGCCGAAACCCGGGATCGAACCAGGGACCTTTAGATCTTCAGTCTAACGCTCTCCCAACTGAGCTATTTCGGCACCACACTAGTCTAAACTATAAAATAGGAAGTCAATCAATGTACCAAGTACTCGACTGGGAACAAAATAGAGGGTTTTCTCATTGTTAATTCTCTCCTGC